AAATCATATTTAGCATATGAAGTGAAATTTTAATTTTTTTTAGATTTCCTCCTTTTCTATTGACAAGCTCCCATATTTTTTTATAAAAAATATATTTGTAATTATTTATTTTTTATAAATTCTATTAATAAACCAAGCAAATTTTATTTTTAAAAAAATCAATAAAAAAAAAAAAACCATGTATCATTTTTTGAGCCAATTATATTTAAAAGAAATGTCACATTAGATATTTTATATTGATACAAAAGTAACAGTTATCTAAAATTAGTTATAATTTATTAATAGTATATTAAATACATGATCGACAAATGATGTGACGCTAATCAAGATAGACAATTTAATTTATTTTAATTGATTTTCATGGATTAGGATTATCTTATCCAAGGAACTTCTTAAATTCTTTGAAATAATGTTTTTTAGTTCAAAAAACACATTGCCAATATCAGGAACACCAAGGCCTACTCCAAAAAGAATTTTATCATGGCTAATAATCAGAATAATTGTGATATCATTTGTCACTTTTTCTGCAATCTTTTCTTTTACACATTTATATTGGAGTTCATATTTTGGAAGTCCAAGAATTTTACATCCTATAACAAGAACATATGGTAAGCAATAAAAAGAAAGAAAAATCATCGAGAAAGTTGTTCTTTTCTAGTTAATTAATCGTTTAATTAATAATATTCATGTTCATTAGATACAAAATTAATTTCTCCGTTATCCGAATTCAATAATTCACAGCGATTTTCTAAAATGCATTCGAAAACTTCAAAGTTACTTACCGACGGCCTATATCCTTATTATTATCATGCTGAGCATGCACCTGAATTAGATGATATAACTATCGCCACTTTTGTTTCTCAGCAAGGTTTTGATGATTTAATTCGATTAGCCGAAGTTTGGCAAGGTAATTCAATTATTCGGCGGTTCAAATGTTAAAAGTTTTAGAGACATCATTAAGGGAGTAATAATTTTTATTATATCTAACAGGTCCAATATCAGCGATTCTTCATGTACCAACGGAAACACTCGACGATACGGATCCAAGAATTGTAAACATACTCGCAACTTATAATGATTTATATAAAAGAAACGCCGTTCTCAAAAATTATGTTGATATTCATCTTATAACAGGCCCAGTATCTAAAAATGTGTCAATATTACCTAGACCCACAAACTTTCACCTAAATGTTGCGAGAATTTTCTCTCGTTCAGAATTTGTATTATTTTTGGATCAAGATACTTGGCCAACAAAACGTGCGCGAAAAATTCTTAGGAAACATAAAAAACTTCTTTTACAAAATGATATTCTCATTTTGCCTTCATTTACTTTTACCGAGCTTTCCATAAGTAAGGACTTTCCACATTCATTTGAAGAATTAACGAAACTAGTTAAACGTAAATACATGGGATTAATTGATGATGGTTGGTCACTTAACGAAGGCCCAACAAATTATGAGAAATGGTTAAAAAAAAGCATATATAATATATCAGATTATGACATGCATTATCAACCAAATTTTGTAGTAAAACGAGGAAGTGCTATTCCATGGTAGGTTTAAAAAATGTACTAATTTTTTTAATTTAAATAATAATGAAAATGATGTCTTATTTATTTTTTATTTTATTTTTTAGGTGTACTGAAAGGTTTGATAATTTTGAGAATAGTAAAGCAGCATGCCTGTTACAAATGTACATTAGTGGATCGGAATTATGGGTAATTCCTGAGGCGTTTACAATAAATTATCATTATAATCGACATTCATATCTCCTCAAGCCCATGGAATCCAAATGGGAGGTTCGTATTAAACAAAACTAATTTCATAATTATTCTATATATGTAAAGACACTGACAAAAAATTGTTCGCTTTTTTATATAGAAAACGATTAAGGATCGTATGTACACTAAATTCTTCCGAGAAGCATGTATTCATCATGCAAAAATATTAGATTCATTGGGTGATTGGAGTACACCAAAAGCAAATCATGTTAAACAACAATGTGATAGAATCATAACCAATTGGGGTCTAGGTATAATTGACGGGTTAAGTTTAGATGGTATGATGGTGGTTTGATTATTTTTTTATTTTATTTGTTGATTTTAGTGTAGAATAACTTTTATTATTATTGTAATTTAAATTCTTGTGTAAGAAAAAAAATTAATTTAGAAATTAATAATAATTAATAAAATGAAATAAAATGAAAAATTAAATTAGAGAATTACTAAAACGGTTATTTTCACGGGTTAAAATAAAATCTCCCGTTAACTCTAATCTTAATGTATAAAATATATATATATATATATAAGAATAATTGATCTTTTAAGTGCGTAAGATTAATCATTAAGATATATCTTTTTCTTTTCATTCTATTCTGTTTCATTATTTTGTAAAATTGATGAAGTACTAGGCAAATTCGTTAACTCGTTTCTATTTCTATGAAATTCAATTATCAATTCTACATGTTTAGCATGAGGGAAAAGATCTACTCCGACAGCTTTAACGGGCTTAAACGGTATTCCGGGAAAAGCGTTACTTGTAGGTCGACAAATGTTCATGAAATTCTGAACAACTGCGTTATGATCACATGAAATGTAAATCAAATGTTCAATTGCCTGACATGTACGAAGTGCATTAATGACATTCTTATGAATTCCCGCACGTGGTGGATCTACAATTGCTATAGCGGTCCCAGAAGTACCATAATTGAATTCGTTCAAGGCGGATAAATTTTTTTCAACCGGTCCAAGAATATATTTGGCATTATTTATTCCATTCAGAGATGCATTTATTTTGGCATCTTCTATAGCCTCCTCACAGAGTTCAATTCCAACGACTCCTTTAATTGTTGATCCCAAATTTTTTGATAAAACGATGCCAATAGTTCCCGTTCCACAACACATATCTATCAATGTCGGTGACTCTGAAAGATCTTTTGATTCATATAATTCTTTAATGATGTCACCGCATTTTTGGTACAATAATTCTGCTGCAAGAGTATTTGTTTGGAAAAATGCTGCAGGAGAAATACGGAACTTGCAATTCATCATTTCTTCGTAAACAAATGGTGTACCATATAGACAATCAAATGGATCTTTATATGAAATCCCATTGCTTAACCCATCATACATCTGAACTAACAAAGAAGTTAGATTGAACTTTTCCTCTTGAGCAAATGATTTAAAATATTCAAGAAGATTAGACTTTTCCTGAATGATTTGTTCTTTACTTAAACCCTGAGGATGCATTTGAACTATAATCATTATATCCCCACATTTCTGCGATCTAACAGTTAACAGACGCCAATTTCCCTGTTTAGTCCTGCGATCATATACTTCATATGAAGATTGTTCTATATAACTCTGCATGACTTCAACTATCTTTTTTGCTACGTCACTGACATGGATTGAATCATGTGGTCCAAGGACAGTATTAAGTCCATCTTTATAAGCTCCTAACAAAAATCCAACCGTTTTCTCGCCTTCTAGATTCAATCCTACAGTGAATTCACATTTATTTCGATACCCTTCTAATATTGGCGAATGGATCATTGGTTTAAGATCAAAAGGAAGGTTGAAATCGAACTCCTCTTTCAACCATGAAGAATTATAATTACTTTTATTATCGTTATATGATTCTTTCATTTTATCACAGAATGTCCTAAGGGATTTTATAATTCCATTTTGTTTAAGTTCTATTTGAGCTTGATATTCATAATTATGTAAAGGTGTTACTTGGTCTGCTAGCATTTCTTCCGGTAACTTTTGCACACCGGATTGTTCAATCTTTTGATCCTTTTTATTTTTTCGTTTGTCAAATAATGCTTGTCTATCCCTTTCTGTAACGTTATCAATTTGTACGAATAATCTTTTATTTTTGAATTCTATACCTTTTAATTTGCTCATGACATCTAACTGTTGTTCTTCCGTTTTTAGAATTGCAAAACAATAATCCCATTTTGGAGATTTTTGTATTTTAACTTGTCCACATTCATGATTTGCTAACAAATCTTTCATCATTTTAATTGATGCAAATTTTGGTATATTCTTAATTCGCAACCTGTATTGCGTTTGTCCTTCAGGATTTGTCGTCTCTATTTTAATCACTTCCTCGACAATTTCTGATGCAATAGTAGCATCTTTGACAGGTTCGGCAAGATTTTCCATAGCTTTTAAACTGGATAAATTCCGAATGGAACTAGCAAATGAAAAACTTTCTTGACGTTTTATATATTTACAAAACCTTATCTTATTCGTGAAATAAGGATCAATTGATGGTAAGAATCGTTTCGTATTTCTATTAATACGAATATTGTGAAAATCTCTCAATATATCTAAAATACCTTGACGAGAATAAAATCCAGAAAATTTCATTTGAAAGTTTCTCAAAAAAAAATTTTTTTTTGATTATATATATATCCAATCAAATTGTGTATAAATTGGGCATTCAGCTGATTGATTAATTGATATCTGGATTACATGATTTAAATTTTTAGCCAATAAAAATCAGCAAGATAACGTGATAAAGAGCAGTCAAATTGTAGTCCAATAATATAAATTTTGACCAAAATTTGGATTTCCCCTTTTTTACTGACCATCTCCCATGTATTTTAAAAAAAAAAGGTTTATTAGTAAAATCTTTCAAGTGAGTTTATTACTTAGATGAACAAATTTTTATTTGATGATATCATAAAATTAAGAATGAGAAAAATTTCTTGAATATAAATAAGAGCAGTATTTTAAAATAAAATATTAAATAATATCAATTCATAATCAGCAGGGTTGGGAATTTTGTATGTATTAGATAAAATTACCATTGTACTGTACTAATTTTTAAATTAATTATTATAATGTACTAACTGTATTAACTGTATTAATTATTGTACTAACACTATACTTTCTAATTCTGATAATCAATCAGTATTGTCAGAATTTTTTCAGTAATGTCATTAGTGATACAAAAAGATGTAAAGTTCTATCAATCAAACGAGTAATGTACAATTTCGTGAAATGAGTTTACACAAATGTATTATAATACCTAATAATTTAATCTGTATAACAAAGAACAACAAAAACTTTCATGTCTCTCCAAATAAAAATGTTTACAAAAACTAATTTTGTTAATAAAAATGATATTATTTATGAAGAGGATCTTAAGATAACTTGTTATTACATATATTTATAAGTAAAGTAAAATATATAATATTAAAAAATAATAATATATTAACTAGTCAAATAAAACATTTTTACCTAAGCCAGAAAAGAATGCTGAAGTATATTTTATTATAAAAAATACAAGTGGTAAAACTATAATTCATTCATTGATTCCAATTAAATATCTACCAATAAATCAAGAAGAAGTTGTAATTATTTATCATGTTGAAGGATGGAATAATATAAAAGCAGTATTTATAGATGTAAAAAATTAAATAATTATATTATAAAAAAAATTTATATATAATAATATTATTAATTTACATTTTTTTAGATTTAATATTCTATAGAAAAACTTATAGTCAATATAATTAATTCATTTGCATTTATCTTGAAAATACTATTATAGTTAGAAAAGAGAGAATATGTCAAGCAATTAAATTATGTAAATTTTGCATATCCAGAGCTTTTGAAAATTAAACATGAGATAATAAATCCTGAATCAGATTTGTATTTAAAAGTAAATAATGAAGTATTAATTAATAATATAAAAAATAATACTTTTGTATAAGTAAAGTTATATTATATATAATTAATTATATATAAAAATTTATATTAATTTTATTTTATTTATTTAGTGTATATTTGATAACATTTAAAACTAAATACCATTTTATGTAAAATAAAATGCAATATATTGGAAAACCTATTTTATGATATCATAATAAAACAACTCTATTAACTTTTGTTTTAGTTGCACAGAATAAAAAATAAATAAAAATTTTCATTATTATATTAGTATTAAAAAAATATTGGTCTTAATTTGCTTTAATAACTTTTAAATAAATAATTATTAAAAATAATTATTATATTAAAAATTTTTTATTTTGTTTATTTTATTTAATTTAAAATATTAAAGTAAATTAAATAAACTAACTAATAATTATTTTATATATTACATAATAATTCAAAGAAAATTTTTTATTATAAGTTTTTTTATAATATTTAAATTTTTTTATTTCTTAATAATTATTAATTTTTAAAATTTGTTTATTTGTAACTAGTGATACCTGACTATGTAAACTCTTTTTTGAAAATTGTAATTTCGTCAAAAGTTACTTCTTTTTAATATTTTTATATAAATAAATATAAAATTATTATATTTTTAATGAATTTTAATTTAAAAAATTTAAATCAAGTTAAATATAATTTTGGCAATTAAATAAAATAATTTTATTATTAATAAAAAACTAGTTTCGTCATTTTGGTTTCATTAATTTCATCATATTAAGAAAGGTAATTTTATTAGATATCACTATTTATAACACATTCTTATTGTGAAAATAATACAATTAAACAAGGATCAATTATTCAAAAAGTATGTAGTATTAAATATTATAAAATAATTCCAATTGATATAGAAAAATGTTTATATATAATTCTTATATTAAATTAATCCATAATCATTCACTATCTTTAACAAATCATATACTAATTATCATTCATATTTATTTACCAGAATTAATTATCAAGCAAATACTGATCATACTAATATTATACCAACTAAAGATGATTTCAATTATTATTTTTAAAATTTTTAATTAGTTGTAACTATTTATGAATTTTTATATTAAAATAAATTTACATAGAGTTGCAACTAAGTTGTAACTTCTTAATTATTGTACCATTTTTAACACCAACTCATATCATTACAAGTAATTCATTTAATACATTTTTAATAAAAATATGTATTTGCTTAAATTATTAATATTATATTTTAATTAAATTTATTTTATTTATATAAAAAACTTAATTAAAACATTTTTTAGAACATGCATCTTTAAATAATGCAGATCACTTTTGATATTATATCAATAAATTTTAAAAAGAAATTTATCTACAAGGTTATGAATTTTTGAAGTTATTTATAATTATATGAATATGTAAAACAAAAAATTTACTTTTTTATTAATATTAACTTTTAATTAATTAATTATTTATTTATTATATTTACATTTATTTACTTAATTAGAATTTTTTGAAAATAAACATATATTAATCATTTATACTACTTCTGAGCAGTTATTGAAGTAAATATTTTTAAATAGATCTTTCTTTTAAGCATGTAGCTAATAAAATCAATAAATTTGAAGTTAATTATTATAATAAAGAATATAATTTAAATAAGATTTTTCTATTATTTTATAAAAATAATGTAAATTTATAATAAGTTGAAATATTTTTATTAAAATTTATATTTATTTTTTAGTTTTAGATTTTACAAATTGAGTAATTATAATTGTAGATCAAAGAATTTTTATATATTATTTAATCTTATATTTCAATTAATAGATTTATTATCTCAATTTAAGCATATATATAAAATTAGATAAAATTACATTCTGTAGATTTATGATTTTTGTAATATTTCAGAGTATTATGTTATAAAATTATATAAGTTTATGAGTTCATAAGATTTATAAAATATTATAATGAAATTCTATATATAGTTAAAAATTGTATTTTTTATGTAATATTACAATTAAAATCTTTTGTAAAGTTATAGTATTGTAAGATTTATAAAATATTATAGTGAAATCTTATATAGGATTATGGTATTATAAAATTTATGAAATATTACAGTAAAATCCTATGTAAGATTATAAGCTTTTAAAATTATGAAAGATTATGGTGAAATTTTACATAAGATTATAAGATTGTATGAAATCTTACATAAGATTATAATTTTTCATCATAGATTTAAAATTAGTGATGTATGTATTACACTATTTAATATAAGCAATGAGTATATACTTTGTATCTTTTATTGATTCATATATATTTTTAGCTTTTAAGAAATGTTAATTTTAAATATTTAATTGCTAATTTTAATCTGTCTTTTACTGAAAAATATGGCATAACCTTTTTTGCTTTGCCTCTAGTATTTAATCTAGTAGAATTACATATTAGACAAATTTTATAAGATTCATATTTTCCAGTATAACAGATACAAGAATTTTCACACATATCATAAAATACTGGAATTAATCTTTTAAAT